TTCAGTATCTATGAATTATATCTCAATAAAGGGGGTGGGTAGGTAGGGAAGATACACACACTCTCTCTCTCTCTCTCCCTGTCCCTCCCTCCCTCCCTCCAAAAGACCGGATGTGCTCTGCTAGGAAGAGCTATGAGAGTGGATCACCTCAGAAAGAATTACAGAAGAGAGGAGAGGAGGTGCCACATACACATCTTTCTGAGACAATTCCCTGAGACAATTGTGTGTGTGTGTATATAGATATTTTTAAGATTTTGAGAGAGGGAGAGAGAGAGCGAGCGTGCTCAGGAGACCGGTGGGGGGGGAGGGTAGGAGGCAGAGGCAGAGGGAGAAACAGACTCCCCACCAAGCAGGGAGCCCGATGCGGGGCTTGATCCCACGACCCTGAGATCATGACATGAGCCGAAGGCAGACACTTACCCACTGAGCCACCCAGGCGCCCCTATGTGTATACGTTTTAATTTGGAAATTGTTACCTTTTTTTTTTTCTTATTTCAAGTGAGTAGAGACTGACTTTTGAAATTACCTGATACCTATTGCCAGTAGTAGAAGTGTGTCAAGAGCCCGGTATTCTAACACCATTAGCCAGAGTGACTGTCAGGAGAAAAAGGCCATTAGTATCTTTCTTGTGACCAGACTGGTATTGTTGCCAAAAACTATCCGTTGGGAATTAGAAATAGTTTTGGCTTTTAACAGCCTTGCTTGAGAGTAGATTGTGTGTAGTTAGAAAAGAGAAAATATGCCAGTGGGACAAGTATATGGAGGTGAGACTAAATTGATATACAATAGAAGGAACTGATAAGCATTACTGATGCTTTTAACTATGGCTGGAAGGAGGAAGAGATTTGCTGGACTGGCTTTTTCTTTTCCAGTTTGTCTGGTTTTTGTGTTTTCCTTATTATAATGACTAGGATCTCTAGTACACTGTTAAAAAAAAATCGAGAGCAGACAACCTTGCCTCATTCCAGTCTTCAAGGGTTTAACACTGTCTTTCACCATGAAGCATATATAATATTGGCAATAGGTATTTTGTAGATGCCTTTTATCAAATTGAGGAAGTTTATTAGTTTGCTGAGTGGCTTTCTAAAAATCTTAACTTGATGTTGGATTTTGTCAAGTTCATTTTCTCCACCTATTACAATTTTTTTCTTTTTAAGTCTAATTTGGTGAATTATACTGATTGATTTTAAAATGTTAAATCAACATTGCAGTCTTGGAATAAACCTTACTTGGTCATGATTGAATGCCATGAATCCAGCCAATTGAATCCAACAATAAATCATCTCAGGACTCTGAGATCATGACCTGAGCCAAAATCAAGAGTCGGATGCTCAACTGACAGAGCCACCCAGGTGCCCGCTAAGTACTGCTTTAGATGGATCCCACATTCTTGTTTTTGTTTTCATTCAGTTAACCACTTTTTTCATTTCCCTTTTGATTTCTTCTTAGATCCCTAATTTATTTAGAATTACATTGTTTGGTGTCCCAAATATTTGGAGATTTTCCACATATCTTCATATTATTGATTTCTATTTGAATTCCATTATGGTCAGAGAAATACTTTGTACAATTTGAGTTCTCTTAAATTTATTGAGATTTAATTTATGGCCCAGACTATGGCCTGTCTTGACAAGGTCCCATGTGTACTTGAAAAGATTGTGTATTCTATATTGTTAGATGGAGTGCCCTATAAGTGTCAGGTCAAATTGGTTAAGTCTTATATATCCTTATTGTTTAAATTTATAAATTTTCTCTTATTTTTTCAATTTTTTTTCTATCCCCCTTTTCCACCTTTCATTCAGTTTTTGTGACTTGTGTGTGTGTTTCGGTGTTTTCCTTTTGGTAGTTTCTATTGTTAGGTCTTCTAGTTTACTAGTCTTTTATTCTGCAATGTCTTATCAGCTGCTAATAACAGCCAGTATATTTTCCACAAGAGTGAGATCTCTTTGGGTCTTTATTCTATCTTCTGTATTTCTCCTTAGCATGCTCAGTCTTTCCTCTACCTTTTTGAACATATGAAAATTATTTATAATGTCTTAATGTCTTTGTTCTGTATTTTTCTGTTGCTTGATTTTTGTTTTCATTATGGGGTTGTATTTTCCAGCTTATTTGTACATCTGGTAATCTTTGTAGCTTAGGCATTTTGAATTTTGTTGCTAGGTACTAGAAAATATATATATGTATATATGTTAGGTTATGTTTATATAAAGTATGTGTAACATGAGTTTATTACATACATCCACATATATTCACACATATGCATACATATACACACACACATACATAGGGGAATACAAACATACATAAGAGACAGTCTCTCCACCCTATCTCTACTTCACTTGAAGAAGTCAGAAGTCCGTGTTCATAGTGGATAACCAGTTTTAATTTGCATTTTATTTTTTATACATCTGTAGGACAGAGAATCCTACTCCCATGATTTTTGTAAGGCTCTTAGTATCTCAAAAACTGCCAACATCTTTAAAGCTAAATTAATTTCACTAGAAAAAAGTAAGGGTACATATAATACTTGAGGCATAAATTACTTGGAAATTAAGAAAACCCCCAATATCCATCTTGGGTTGGAAGCAGTGGTATAAGGAGCTGAAAACTCCTTGTGCTGCTTTCAGAGGGAGAACTGTCTAACTCCTCCAGCTTCATAGCAGGTCAGACGATTCCCTGAAAGGCAAGCCAGAGTTTGGGCCTAGTTAGTGTGCAATTCCTACATGCTGGCTGTGACCTGCTTCCTTTGAAGCGCTCATTGGGGAGGGGTGCGGCAAAGAAAATGGAGGAGGTAGGAGATAGAAGAGCATCTGAATTGCCCGCCTCCCCCTTTTGTATTAGAAAACAGAAAACCACTTTTCTACTGTGGTGAGCCACCCACTAACATCTCTTTCCTGGGTGGTGGCCTGCCAGATGCACCCGAGCCTCCAGTGAGGCCAAGGAAGGGCCAGCCGTCAGCTTTGCTTGCAGAAGTGGTACACCGTGCTATGTGAGTTTGCTCTGAAGAGCTAGAGGGATATTCCTGAACCCAGGAGAGCAAGAAAATACACTTAACCTGTATCTTTCAGTGGTCACCATGAAGAATGTGTTAAAAAGACAAGGGAAATCAAAGTGGCTTCATAGCATTTTCAGACTGACTAATCTACATTTTTGGATCCTTTTTTTTTTTTTTTTAAATAAGAATGGGGAAATAGTACCTTGAAGCCATGTAAAAAATGTACCAGATCTTCAGTGATTGAGAAGGGCAGGTCCTCAGCTATAGAAAAAGAAGCAAGGCATCTGATGACACTAAAATCTGAGTTCACCTATTAGAAAAGTCACTTTTTATGTGTGAATTGGAACCTTTGGCTTTTTGCTGAAGAGGTGTGTGGCTGTTTTAGCTGTCTGAGGAAGGCTTCAGACTTGCTAGCCAAGTGATGTGAGATGCAGGTGGCCTGATTCTGCCACCACTTTCACAGGCCCTTCTCCTGTCGTCAACCCCGTTTTCCAGCTGTAAATGATGGCCAATGCCACCAGCCCGTCATAGTATTTATAATGGTATTTGTATTTATATACTGTAGTACCTTATGAACACTGCTCTGCAGTTAGTGAGGTCTTTCCTTTTGCTAATTTTACATCAGACACTGAGTTGAAAAGGTGTCACACCTCTTGCAGATGAGGAAATGGGGAAGTTTCAGGATCAAGAAAGGTTAAGTGACTTGGCCAGTGTCCCAAGTACAAGGATCCGGGCAAAAACAAAAGGCTTCTAATTCCAAATTCCTTCTGCTAGAATGTGCTGCCTCCCTCCAGGACTGGCGGAAGATACTGGGGCCAGTCCTCAGGATGAGGCTTTAATTATTCTGCCTCACTCAGCATGTGATGTACCAAGTTGTGTTTGTAGATAGCTTAGTGGGAGGTTTTCCTATAAAAGGGACAGGGTCTAGATGTGGGACTGGCCCAGTCTGGCAGGTGTAGAGGTGATGAGAATGCTGGTTGTGGTTTTCTCACAACTCCCCAATTACTGCCTGGTATCATTTGGTACTTACTTCGCTAACTATACTTTTGCAGAAAGCATAAATCAATGCAGTTAATGTAGAAGAGGGCAAAATGTTGCTAAGAAATGCTCCTGGAGATTGGTCCTCACAGCTGATTCTGGGAGGGGGTCTGACTTTACAGTGTTGGCTTAGTCATTTCGGGCACAGGGCTTCACACTTTCAAAACAACTACAAAGGTTGTAGCGGTTGCTTACTGAGATAGCTTGTAGTGTTTAATGGCTAAGCCTTTAACACAGGGTTTGTTAAACTACAGATTTAAATAGTAATGATATTTTATGACCAAACCATTGAAGGAAATTGACAGTCATTTGTTTCCTTAAAAAAATTAAACCTCAAAACCAAATTTATCAAATGGACTAGTATCTCCTGCACTGATTTCCAAACCCCCACCCTTGTCAGGTTGAACCAAATTGGAAATTTAAACCAAATGATTATATATTTTTCATTTCCTAGCTAACTGGCTTCAATTCCTCAGTCTTCTAAACTCAAAGTAAATCACAGCAGTGCTGGTTCAGTAAGAGCACACATAAAAACGTTAAAGAACAGGCAGGAGACCTGGGCGGGCGCGCTCATACCCGGAGGATAGTTACTGTAAGTCTGTAGCTGTTCAGCTACTTTTAATTCTTAATTCCCAGGGTTCTGAATGTCGGGGTGTGATGACCTCTATGAAAGAGCAGCTGATGAGCAACAGTTCAGACTTTGTATTGTACAGTAGATGTTGTCCTCGCCCCCACCCCACGCATACACCTTTGTCATTACACTGAATGTACTACATTGTAATGATTGGTTTTCCTTCTGAGACTGTGACACATGTAATGCTCCTAATTCAAGTTGGCAATCCAAGACCTGGCACATACTTGGCATTTAAAAAAATTTTTGATGTGTCTGGAAATTTTGCAGAAAAAAGGGAAGTACACCACTATTTTATTTTAAAGTCTTTTTTTTTTTTTTAAACTTTTCACAAAGGATTTGCTGTGAGTCTTCAAGTCATCTTGTCCAATCCAAAAGCTGTATTTAAGCGTCGTGGATCCCAGCCAGGGATGCAAGAATCTGATTTTCTAAAACAGATAACAACAGTTGAAGAACTGGAACCAAAAGCAAGTAACTGCACTAAGGTATTCATTTCACTTGTGCTGCTTGACCTTGTTCGGTGTCAGCATTAAGAAGTGTGGCTACCCAAAAGATTTCCCTCCCCTCTAGGTTCTCGTGTGGCACACTCGGACAGAGAAGGTTAATCTAGCCAACGAGCCAAAGTACCGCCTGGACACAGTGAAAATTGAGGTATAAACTGAAGCAGCAAGTGGTGCAGTTTGCCTGGCTAATGGACGTGGAAGAGGAGTCCGGAGGTCAGGCTGCAGAACGTTCAGGTATTGTTCACTTGACTTCAGTACGACAGCCTGTGTTGTCATCTGACGGACATCTGTTTCAGCAGAGCTTGTCTGTCCACTAACACAGCTGACGGGATGGGATCAAATGTATGTTTTTGTCTTCATTTGTTCTGCATGTCTTCCCTACAACTAAACTGGCAGTTCTTTGTACAGTACGGCTAGTGACACTGGAGGATACGATTGTGAGTATCTTACGTACTTTTTGTTCTTCCCATTTGGCCTTATAATTGGTAGAACTGAGCAGGTTTTAGAAACAAATGACAGGCATTTTGCCAACTAAATGTTCCCAATCGCTCACTTCGCAATGTTTAAGTTTTGTAAGGTTGGTGGCAGCATACATTGTAGGAAATAAAACCCACAAAAATAAAAAGGTCTATGGATTCATCTGTTTAATATAGGGATATAACATTTTGTCAATACTAGGCACCATAAAATGTAAACACAATTACTGTCATAAACCTGGATATACCTTCAAGGATTGAAAGTGGCTTGTTTAGTTACCCTGTTTGCATACAGTGCAGAGAAAGGTCTTCATGTTATTAGCACTATGTACATAAGAAGAGATCCAAATTACAGGAGAGGCAGATGAAATTTGAGTTCTTTAAACATTCGTTAAACTAAGTTTTGTAGTAACATCCAGGTTTATCTTCCTTTCACTAACCACGTTCCCTGTTAAGCACATCATAACAACAGCACAGTGAAGTGAATGATGAAATAAAAGAATTTTGATACACTAGAAAACAGTGCTCAGTGATACATTTACATTCTATTTATATGATGAAACATTTGATCATACAGTACCTTCCTAAGGATTACTGGCTAATTTGGGGGTGGTGTTTATACTGTTAGAGGTATTACTTACATGATAACTACTTCCCTTATATGCAGACATTACAGCTATAATTTTATTGAGAGTAAAACTGATTATGCAAGTTGACTGAGCAGCTTCTCAAATAATGTGGTTTATGAAATCATGGGAAATGAGCAAAGCTGCCCTTGACATAAAATGGTTTCTCAACCTGCTTTTCACATCAAATTTAATCAGTACAGACCAACACGGTCAGTCAGATAATTCTTAATAGGAACAAATGGGGAAAAAGAAAAAATATATATGTACATGAATAAACAGGGGAACTAGATGCATTTTAGCAAGGAATGTCAGGTGGTAGTTCTGGATGAAACTTGCATTGCAGTTTTCATTTCCACAGCTGTGTGCTGAGAGTCTGACCCGATGAGCTTCCAGACCATCCTGCTGTTGTGTTGGGGGGCTGGCCAAAACCCACTGTTGGGTTCGTACTACTGATACTCATGCCAGCCATTTGCTGATTCATCTGTGAAACATAAAAAGCTTATTTTAAAAGGCTTACTTCACTTTTAATTCTTGTTTCTTTAGCCACATGTTGTATCAGAAGCTGCCTTTACTGGAGGTTTAGTCAGATAATGAAGTTTAATAGCAATTATAAGTCCTTTTCCTCAATGTGAAAATTAGTCAAAGCACAGGAGTAAAAGCCGACTACCAATTATTTCCCTAGAGAAAGCTACTTTGTTTCCTTCTTGTTCTTTATCTCCTTCCACATTTTTTAACACTGTCCATAAAGTGATCTCAATTATAGTCTATTTATTCATTTTCAAGACTCCATTTTTTTGTCCCCCAAAGATTAACAACTGAAAAAAAAAGCACCAAAGCAATCTTTGAATTTGTATCTGAGTCCACTATTCTTTTCAACTCTACCAGCATGTTGTTCTTTAACTGTAAGGATTGAGGACATTTTAGAAAGTAAGATACTCCAAAATTATACATTGTGGATGACAGCTATTATTCTGTCTTTATTAAAATCTTAAATGGTTCGATATACTTTCTAAATATTAAAAAAGGTCATAAAGCATACCTTTTCTTTTGCTTAGTTAACCACTAAATATCTAAAATTAATTTTCATTATATAAGGTATAAGATTATATATATTTTTATTCCAGACTGGAATCATATATGTATAGAGGCATCCTAACCCTTTCCCTGCAGTACTCTAACATTGATGATAAGGAAAGGCAAGATTTATCACAAAGCACAGAGTGGATTCAAAATCTATGCTCAGGGTTGGAATGTATTCTTAATAAAGTTCATTTGTTATTTTGCAAAGACACTAATGTTCACCACACTGCTGATGAGGCATAAGTGTCCAGTTCATCATACCTACTGAAGGATGCTATAACCACCTTTCACTGAGAGGGTGCTGGAAAACAGCAGCACCCCTCAGCATGCCTGGAAGTAAGGGCCAACAGTAACTCCTTACAGATTCATCTAGCACCTTAACCTGAGCTGGGTGTGCTTCAGCACTTTGTCTCACAAAAGCTGTTACTGACATTTGGTACTTGACGTTCCCAGAGGATAGAGCTCAAGAGTGAGATGCTTAACCAACTGAGCCACCCCCCCCCCCCCGATAATTCCTTTAAATAATGACAAGAGGGGCACCTGCCTGGCTCAGTCAGTAGAGCGTGTGACTCTTGATCTCAGGGTTTTGAGTTTGATCCCCACGCTGGGTGTAGAGATTACTTTAAAATAAAAGTGGCATTCATGGGATATACAGTGTTTTGGTAATGTTAATTATCACTATAGACTATTCTCTGAATGCTCTCAAGGTAAAACAGCTGACCAGAACAGAAACCAAGATCCCCCAAATGCTAGAGAAATCAAATAAGAACTTGTAAAGGGAAGAGTTGCTGGAGCATGAACAGAAGTCTAAGGTCAGAATGGAGCACTAATACAGAAACGGATTTGAGAAAAGTTAAATTGTCAGCTTTTGGCTTTAAACTAACGTAAGTAGAAATGGGATTTTGTAATATAAGGGGATGTCTGAGACAAATATGGACTTGTCCCTAAGTAAACAAAAATATTTCTTATAAAGCCAAGGGCAGTAGTCACATGACATAGAGAACAGTCTAGATCCCTCACAAAATAGTGCTTTGAGAAGAGGAGGCTGGATATTTTTCTAATTTGTCAAAGTTACCACATAAACCCCAAAATTATTAGTGACGGTAGGCTGGTCTAAGTAGACTATAAAAATACCCCAAAAGGGAGCTGGGTTAAAAGCTTGGTGCTAATTTCATGGGAGGGGAGAAGACAGGAAGTCTCTCAAGATGCCCAAGACAATTTCTAGCTATTACAAACAGGATGTTCGCCAGTGTTATAACCTGAAGTGAAAAAATGCTTAACATTTCTTTATAGAATATTCTAAATATAGTCAGTGACTGCTCATCTGTCTATGTGATGTAACTTCGTAATACCTATAAACAGTTCTCACCTCATACAACATACCCCTACTCCAGTCTTTCTGCCAGGTTGTTAGATTTAAATAAAACCATTTAGAAAATAAATCCAGTTTCTTTGATTCTGGAGAAGTTGGAGAGCAAATGAGCTCTTACCTGTGAGAGGTTCCACTGGGGCTGTTGAGCTTGCGGCAGGCCAAACTTACTCTGGGGTGCACCCATCTGTCCCACCATTCCTCCTTGGGGGCCAACCACATTTGGAGGAAGTGGCATCACACTAGTTTGTGCATTTCCCATAAACCCATTGGGCAAGGGCATGCCCACCATCATGCTTGCACTCTGTCCCATCACATTTCCGAGAAGGCCAGGAGCTGCAGGGGTAGGCACAGGCACACCCATTGATGGAAAACCTTGAAATGCAGTCGGTGCTTGTGAGGTAAATGGTATATTTGTGGGTCCCATAAACACACCTGCATTTTAAGAACCATGAAAAGAAAATGAGAAAACAGGGCTATTGTATACAGCTGCACTCATCTCTCTAATCACAGAAAAAGGATCACCATCTTTCTCAACTACCCACAGCAAAAATTTTAATTCCAGTCTGCTCCTACTGCTCAAACTCACACCATAACCCTCAGAGCTGGTTACTTCCCGAATGCAGTTAGTTATAAACCTGAGCAGCACATTTAATTAGGATAAATAAATCTTATGCAATAGCTATAGAAAATATCCAAACTACGTAGCATGAGATTACGTGCTCACGAGCACCACTGGGCTCCCACTATCAAACACATAATGAGAGCTGTCTGCCTTTAATAGAAGCAGGTGGGATGGCCTATAACTTAGCTCACTATTTAGAGGAAATGGGCCTAACACATTATGTAAACAACAAATCTTACTGTGCAGTATTTCATTATAATTATTAAAAACTCCAAGTTTTGGAATTCTTGTGGTAACAGTGCTTATTGTTTACTTACAGAAAACTGTACACAAAGTTGTAAACTTCATGCAAATCAAAATAATTCTTCAAACACAATCCATGTCCTGTAACCTTGTGAAACAATATTAAGTGATATGTGAACAGCTTGTTAATTCTAAGTGAATAAAGTTCTGTGAATCCTGTATATGCCTTTTTAATTCTAATGCTTCAATTCTGTATTTGCACAAATTGCAACAAAGGTACCCATTACATAGAAAAACAACACAAAGGGTATGCTTCTAGTAATGTCACTACACATTGCTGACAGCAGATTTTAAAATGAATTACCAGGAGTACTCTGCTGCTGAATGGTTCCTGTACCATACAAAGATAAGATGGAGTCTTTGGAGAGTTGTTTCTTTGCCACCTCTTCTGACTTTGTAGCTTGCTCAGTGAACAGATCCAGATCTCCAGATATTACTGCAGACAGAGTGGCAGCTGCAGGTATAGAGGGCGTCCCCTGAGACAAATACCAAAGCAAGCTGTCAAATTCTGCATACTGAAACATAGTTCATCTGTTACTTAAAATCTAAATGAAATTAGAAATTAATTGTACAAGGTAATATGGTGACATTACAGAGGATCATTCACAAGCCCACATAAAAACAGTATCTAGGAGGAAGGTACAATGTTTCCTATTTTGAATCTGTTGCTGGAAGAGAGGCAGACTGAAGCTCTTTCATAATAAATTGCGTTTACCTGCTCACCTGACAACTGAGTTTTTGCCCGTCACATCCTGACCCACATCCTGACCACAGTGGCTTCACCAACAGCATGTGATGGCCATGTGAGGACCACCATTCCTGGAAGATGCTGAGGCATCCCCTTTGGCAACTACTACTCCAAGGATCTGGTAGCCCTTGAAATAAAGAACATTGCTACAATGACAGCATACTCCAAGAGGGTCCTGCGAAGGCTGATCTTGTCTTCTTTGGAAAAAAGAAAAGGCTTCTTCAAAAGCTGCATCAAGATATTTTTATAAATCTAACCTAGATCAGTTTTAACCACAACATTAGGATGTTTCTAGTCCATCCAGAAATGAAGCACAGCTAAGTTCAACCACCTATACTCTCAACCATATCTTCAACCCCACTTTTGGACAAGGGGCAAAGGAACACAAAGAAACATGTAGACACGAAACAAAAATTTTCACTTAATCTATATCTGCACACAGATTAAAGTGAGACTGTTATAGCTGTGATAGTATAATGATCTCTAAAGTCACTAAATATTCAATCACATTTGTTTACATGAAATTGTTTTATATATGAAGAGTTTCAAAGAATTCTAAGAACAGTAAAAACTGAGTAAGAGTCTTCTCAAACTATAGAATAAGGTGAGAGTAGTAGGTACAAGCTAAAAATCATGCATATGATTTGTCTTAATTTTTTAAAAATTCAGACATTCAACAGGTTGGCTAAAAAACCTAGCAATAAATTACCATCCAAGCATTGTATTCACAAATTCAAGCAGATCAAGATGTTGAATCTATTATGACAAATTAAAAATTTTGAGATAAGCCACTTAATTTTGCAAAAGATCTAAAATGCGTTAAGAAATTGGACATAATGGAATACCAAATATAACAATATGCTTGAATAAAGTATTATCTGAACTACGAATGATGCAACAGAAGCTCACAGAAGCTAAGAGCAAGAGCTCTGGAGCCAGCCCGCCAGGACTAGAATTCTGGTCCCACTGCTTACTAAAGAAAACAACGTACCCTTATTTTGTCACTTAATCTCCACTGTCTCTCTTCTCTAAACTTGGGGATAATAAGATTTCCCACCTTACACAGTTGCTTGTGACCACAAGAAGTGCTCTGTGGCAGGGTTAAGCACACAGTGTTTACTGTTAATGTTGTCAGGTAATGAAGCAACCATCTCACTAATCTTTCCATCATGTTTAGTTTCTGTTCAATCGAAGAACCTGCTTAAAATCCAAAATGGCTGGGAAACCTATTACAGTAGCTCCCCCGTTTCCACCCCTTCCAAGATACATTCCAAGTACCCTGTGGATGCCTGGAACCACAGAGAATACCAAAACCTACATATACTATATATATACTATGCTTTTTCCCTATACATCCATACCTCTGATAGTTTAATTTAGAAACTAGGCACAGTAAGAGATTAACAATAACTATAAAATAGAACAATTATAACAATATACTGTAATAAAAGTTATGTGAATATGGTCTCTCTCAAAATACACTGTACTCACCCTTCTTGTGATGTGAGACGATAAAATGCCTACGTGATGAGATGAAGTGAGGGGAATGACAAGTGAGGCATTGTGACAAGTGTTAAGCTACTACTACTGATCACCCGAAGATCATCTGCTTCTGAACTGTGGGCAAGTGAAACCACGGAAAATGAAACCACAGTCTCATCCTAGAGCAGCCTAATATTCACATGCTCTAAACATGGATATTTCTTCTGATGAGGGTGGATAAAAGAGTATCTACCTCAACATGGTCATAATCTAAAAAGAGCCAAACCAAATAGCATGATGAATAAGCACTCATATGTCTGTTTTTATTTTTTGGTGCTCCATTTGATAGCAGTACAACTCCAGGAAAAAGAAGAACGTTTGCCTATCAATTTACACTTTGGGACGCTGCAGAATCCCTAACCAGAGGTTCTCTGGCTGTCGGGATCCTAGGGCTGACCCAAGGACAAGGCACAGCACTCGTGTAGGTCTAGATACTGTTTGTATATGTATATTATAGATAGAAGGAAAGGGATGGCTTCTACAAGTCACCTCTGGGGACTCTGGAATGATTCCCTCTGAACCCCCAATACACATGTGCATTCTGGTTAGCTGAGTATATCTAACCTTCTTCACAAGACTACACAGCCAAACAGGTAAATCTCACTTTCACATGAGTGGGAAATCTTTTTTTGTTTTTTTTTAACATTTTATTTATTCAGTTGAGAGAGAGAGAAAGAGAGAGCACAAGTGGGGGAGGGGCAGAGGGGGAGGCACAAGCAGTCATGGGGCTGATCCAGGACCCCGAGACCGTGAACTGAGCCCAAGTCAGACGCTTAACCGGCTGAGCCACCCAGGCATTCCTGAGTGGGAAATCTTTTTTAAAAACATTAATTATGAACGAAATGAGCACTGAAAGAATTATAGGGGCTCACAGTAATTCCTATTTCTGTCCAATCAATTTTACATAATAGAAACCCAGCAAAATTAGTAATTTCATAGCGGGAGTGTATGTATAAAATGTGTACTTTAACCTGCCTTTCCCCTCTCCCCATTTTGAAAGACATTATTTTGAAAACATATCTGGGTTTTAACCTTTACATGTAGTTCAGATGAAAGATAATTCTGTTCCCCAAGTATTTTACAGGGCTCACAATACAACTGGCACAGTTTTGGTCCAAAAACAATGCTCTAAAAAAAGAATTAGATGTGATTTTAAAAAAAATCAGTCATGTTACTCTTAGTTATTAATGCAGAATGCACAAAGCATGCAGGTCAGACCAACCCCTCATGAAGGCAGGAGCTACACCCCATATTGCTTGTCGGGTGCTACTTAAGAGTTTAAATGACGTCTGCATTGTTCTACTTGCTTTGATACTGAAGAGAACACATGAAGTAGTACACTGAAGCCTCAGATGTGGGGTCTAATTCTCTAAGCGGCTGCAAAAAACTCTCATTGTCCAGTGGAATCGAAGGAAGTCTAGCAGATAAAACAGCCTCACTAGAATGCTACACCAAAAGAAACTGCTTTTCATGCTCAGATTGTCAAATATTCTAAATGCTTCTTTCTGAAGCCACAACATTAGCATTAGACAATTTTTATTACCACATGAATACCCCTGCCTGCACAAATTCACAAGGTGCTTAATGTTAACTGAAACCACAGTAGTAACAAACAGTTCCTCTTTTTATGTGTTGGGGGAGGGGAGAAGGAGCCAAGTCATAAAATAAAGCTATCTTTTCTGAAAATAAAAAATGATGCAGACAATTTTGATAAAGATAATTTAAACTAATTCCTCAAATTTATTTGCTCAATTCTATTGGTAATTATACAATGACTATCATAATAACAAAAAATATGTGTAATAAAATAAGCAAATTAATCTTCTTAGTAAGACATAGATTCTTATTAAAACTTTCTACCCAAACAATATACATTTGGCTCCGTTTTTCTAGAGAAAAGGGAAATATTTTACCTCAAAAATTATGCTGTACTGAAACAAACTACTGTTCATTTATAAAGTATAAATTTAAAATAGAATCTTAAAGCTGTATGCTTAAGAGTAACCTATATCCCTAAAAAAGTTCATATATTCACCTTAAAGAAAGCTAAATACTTCATGGGATCACTTGTATGTGGGATCAAAAAAAAAAAAAGTTGAATTCACAGAAAGCAAAATGGTGGTTACCGGGACTCAGGAGTGGAGGAAATACAGGGAGGTTGATACAAACTCAGTTATAAAATGAATTAAAGGTCTGAGGGCCTACAATGTGACGATAGTTGATTATACCGTATTACGTTACTGAAATTTGTGAAGAGAGAGCTAAAGTGTTCTCATAAAAAAAAAAAAAGTAAATACATGAGGTGATGGATGTGTTAATTAACTTGATGGTGGGAATCAAATATACACTTTAAGTATTTACCATTTTACTTGTCAGTTATACCTCAATAAAGCTGAAAAAATATTTAAAAGTATTAAGCAATTTACAATTTTAAAAAAGGAATGAAGGCAAAAAAAATTTCACGTAGTATTAAGAACACAATTCAAAATTTCTTTACCATCAATATGTAAAAAAGTTCTGATCATTAATATTGTTCTAAATATCGGGCGCCTGGGTGGCTCAGTCGTTAAGCGTCTGCCTTCGGCTCAGGTCATGATCCCAGAGTCCTGGGATCGAGCCCCGCATCGGGTTCCCTGCTCCGTGGGAAGCCTGCTTCTCCCTCTCCCACTCCCCCTGCTTGTGTTCTCTCTCTCACTGTCTCTCTCCCTCTCTGTCAAATAAATAAATAAAATCTTTAAAAAAAAAAAATATTGTTCTAAATAATTTTTTAAAAATCATTTTAAAAAGTAAAAATAGTGTGTCCATTATACTTCAATTTTAAAAAAAGGTTTTAGGACTAACTTAAAACAACTAATCTTCATAAAAAATATGAGTACTGAATTTGCTAGAATTTCTTATTCTTGGTTTTCCTGCAGCCAGAGCTAAATCTTCGGAATGGCTCAATACAGCATAAAAAAAGAACTACTGGCTTGTAATCAATATTTAAACACCCATGGTTTTAAAACCTCTGAAGTGACCTTGTTAATCTCAGGCAAGTTTGAGATAGTCTGAGTTTTCCCACTGGTTCACTCTAAACAGCACTGTTTGCCTAAAGCAGGAGTCAGCAAACTTTATACAGTGAATATTTAGGCTTTGTGGGTCAAACAGTGTCTGTCATAACTCTTCAACTTGTAGTGTGAGAGCAGCCACAGACAATATATAAACAAATGGAATGGCTGTTTCAATAAAACTTTATTTGCAAAAATGAGCTGCAGGCTTAATTTGCCAACTCCTGGCCTAAAGAATAAAGTTTTCAAATCAGAGACTGCTCAGAGACAATTCTTTCAAAATTAAATTTTGAGACTTTTCAAAAAAGAAGTCATGATCATGTAAAACCATATTCTTATTACATACCTGAGCTGGGGGTATGACAGTTGCAGGTAAGGGATTAGAAATCATTGGTCCAAAGATGTCTAGATCATCATTCAGGGACGGCAATGTGGTTGTGTTCCCATTGGTCACTGGTGCCTCAGCAGGGCCATCTGAAAAGAATATAGATTCTCATCCTAAAGTAGATTCTCTTAAATTACTTGAAACATGGCATCATTGAAAAAATATATGGTTTAAAAAAAAAAAGTTCAAAAGTTGACAACAAAATATATGTCCCCCTTTTACCCCAGGCTCTCTCCTCTTTCCCAAAGAAACTATTTCCAGTTTTATTCTCCCAAAAATATTCTTTACTCACCGGTTTCTAGGTATAATATATCCAAACCCCATTTTAACAATAGTGGTATTACACTATTCACATTATTCTGCATCCTGATGCTTCCTTATGTGCCAGGCACTGTTCTGAGTACAGACATTAACTCATTTAATTCCCATAACGTTATGAGACAGACACAACTATGACACAAAAGAATTCAAATATGACTCATGAAAGCATTTTTTTTTCATTTCTAACCACAAATGGCAACATTCGTTTGAAGTCAGACCTCTTAAAAGAACTATTTCATGTTTTCCAGTCCATTCCGCATTCCACTTACATCATGTATAATACATCATATAAATATGAACCAGAAATAAAATATTTTAAAAGGACAAGATATTCTAGATTAAAAACACAATTAAAGGAACATCTTTTTTGTGGTATCTACAAGAGCTCAGTAAAGAAACTCAAATAACAAGGACATGTGAGCCAGTGGTGCCCATAAGCTGCAGAGGTGGGGACAGGGAAACAACCTCATCAAACAGACATGTTTAATTCTATCATATGAATAAGGAAGCATTTTATTAGCAGAAAATATAACTATATTTTATATATGCAGTTTAAATTCACAAAAAAAAAAGCACATGTCCTATAAAACAATGACCAAGAGGAACAAAGGTAAAAAAGCAAAAACCTGACAAGTTGAGTATAAACTATGTATTTCCAGTTTTTCAGTTAAAATTTTTTGCTTCTTCAAGAGCAAACACTAATAATTAGGAAAATTTTACGAAAAAAAATACCTTACACATGAGAAAATATTATCTTTTATTTTTTGGTGAATACAGAAAATGTCATTAATTGATTTTTATCACAGGTCATGTCAATCTAGTTTACAGGACACCAGTGAGCCCAGGATACACTGTGTGAGAACCAAGAGGTTCACCTACTCCAGGCAAATGATCTGTGTCCATACTTTTATAAACTGTACATCTTTCAGAAATTTAGGTCTAGGTAGTACACTGTATGTACTTCATTAAGAATATTTATACTTTCAAATCTAAATTCTATTCAGTATCTAGTAGTACATTATCTAAACTATAAAACAACATGCAGTACTTTATTTGGTTTTTGAAGTCTTATTTTACCCTTCATACCCTGAGGTTCACATATGTGACTAATAAAAATAACAGCCAACACTCAGTATAGTGCTTGTTTCGTGCCAGTCTAAAAAAATACAAATACATAAACACATATATGCGCTTTAGTCTTTATAATGATGCTATGAGAGAGGTACTATTAATTACCCTCATTTGCATATGACAAAAACATTAAATTTGTCCACCGTCACAGAGCCAGAGCAAAGCCTTGGGTTATAATATCTAAATCAATTTTTACTACAGAATCAACACATTCTTGGAAAAGATACAAACTATGCAAAAATTAATAAAAGTTCCTTACCATGGATGATGGTGATGGTTGCACAATAATGTGAATGAATGTACTTAATGCCACCAAACTGTAAACTTAAAACTGGCTAAAGCGGTAAATTGTACATTATGTGTATTTTACAATACAAAAAGTCCCTACGTTTTTTATGCTTATAAACAAATGCTTAAAAACATGCTTAAGACAATGAATATACAAAAGTCGTTTTCTTTAGATAAAATTGTTTTTGTGTGGGTGAGGGTGGACTGCATTCTATACTGCATGGACTTAAAATAACTTATTTATTCAGCCCTTCACTACTGGACATTTAGGTAGTTTCCAGACTTTCACCATTACAGAAACAGTAAATATCCACAGTCCTTCATATAAAGCCCACACAGCTCACTTCCTTCACAACTTCATGTTCTACTACTGGACTGCAAACAGCTTCATTTTCTCATTCCATTAAAAATTATTTGCATTTAAAATCTGACCTTTCAAAATCTCAGAAAAGCATTCCACACAAACTCCACCTACCAAAGTGGAGCTGCCATGAAAGTCAACTCATAATGTAAGTCCAAGGAACTTTGGAATCCTTTAGAATAAGACACACAAAGCATCTCCTTAGAAATAGTGATCTTTACGGCAAGGTTGCCACTGTTTCCAAGTGGTTAAGGAAGATACTGTTTTAACTACAAAAACCTAAGATGAGGAACTTTCTCCCAGGTCTGACCAAGGTTTCCAATCCAGCCTCGTGACAGACAACGGTGACTCTTCTCTGCTTTCACATCTGCAGCGCACGTGTCTTCTTTTCTCTCTACCATGGTTTTCTCCCCATATAATCCCCTAAATATGATGGATTTTACCCCATCGATTTTTCTTGTTAATACAAAAGCTAAGCATTCACAGAATTGTTGAAAAACAAATCCTTAACCTAAACAAAAACTTCTCAGCCTTGTATAATCAGTAAATACAAGTTCCCAATGGGTTTTCCCAATGGATTTTAATGTTTGTGAATTTGACTTGCTACCCTGGCCTGCTGTTTAGCATTCTTTAAAAAGGATTGTTTCAATTCATTTTGAAGGTTGTGTTTTTGATTGTCAGCATTTAAAAAGGACAGTTAAAGACTGTCATTATCATCATTATAAACATCGTAGTTCCCGGACATTTTAAAAGAATGTTTACATGTTATCATTTTTGTCTCTCTGAAAGACAGGAAAGGCATCTCTTTCCACTATCTCCAGTAACAGAAACCAGGGCACCAACAGATTAAAAGACTTGTTCAATGTCACTTCCCTAGTTAAACAGCAAAGTCTGCACTAGAACGGAGTCTTCTGATCCCTAGGCTAGTGAGTGCTCTTTACTTTAAACCACATTTCATCAGTAGTCATGTAATTAAAACTGTACCTAATTACGAAGACGTCACTTAAAATTCTGAAATTTAAAAGCCAACTTTTTTTTTTTAAAGATTTTATTTATTTATTTGACAGAGAAATAGCGAGAGCAGGAACACAAGCAGGGCGAGTGGGAGAGCAGGCTTCCCGCCGAGCAGGGAGCCCGATGCGGGGCTCGATCCCAGGACCCCGGGATCATGACCTAAGCCAAAGGCAGATGCTTAACGACTGAGCCACCCGGACGCCCTAAAAGCCAACTTTTAAACAGTTTATAATTATTTGCACCAAGAGCAGCAGTGACACCAAAGGTTCAAAAACCATTCAGCACCACATGCACAGTTCCTCTTCATCTCCCCATTCCACTGTCCTACCAAGCCTAGTATCTTCTCAATTTACAGGGAAGGACACAGGTGGATGTGGTCATCAATGAGCAAACTGGGCTGAGGGAAGCAAGTGTCGGGTATAGGCAGCCCTGGGTCAACAGAGTATTTACATATCACAGTGAGTTCAATGAATCCTTTTGATCAAGGGTCCACTAATAGCACAGTCTTTGCTGACTGAATAAAAGCTCAGAGTCCACAAAAGCAACAGAGAAGTGGACGTCTGTGCAAACTAATCAGAATTCACCACAGTCATGCACCTCAGAGTGAATGTTGGGTTCCTTCCTCAGCTACAGAATGGTGGTGGGAGCAGCCAGCAGCAGGAGGAGGGAGCAGCCCCCTTTAATCAGTATGCAGAAACAGTAGTTGGTGGGCAATAAAAATAATGGGAGATCCACAGTACAAGAAAAGCCTAAGGCAAATGGAAGAAATTTAGCTGGGGACAACATCATAAAGAATGATAATGAAGCACAAAGGACCCCTTGAAAAGGCAATGAGCAAACTGAAGAAATTAGGACAATGCAGTAAAGTGAAGAAGGAATTTCAATCTTAAAGGCAAGGGATCAAGCCTACAGTTAGCTGCTTGTGGGTAACTGTTTTCTTTCAATGTTACCTTAAGGTTTCAAAGCAGTGTTTTATCTGAAAACTGAGTTTGTAGATGTCTGTTTTAAATTACACACATACCATAAATTTACAAGAAAATGTTAAAATGTTTCGAGCTAAAGAAAAAGAAGTTGTTAAAATCAGTGCTACATCTCACATGAACATAAGGCATGCCCAGCATGCATTTACTGGCCTACTTTGCATCATGACACTGATAAATGCCTAGAAAGAAGGTAACATTTCAAATATGACAAAGTCATGAAGGCCAGTCTCTCTGTCTTCTAGAAATCCTCAATATGGTGAGTAAGACTGCTGATTCTATTAATTGTGGCTACACCAGAACTCATCTAACACCAATAATCCAAAAGAGTAAAGGTAAAAAAAAAATAGAACAAAACAACCAAAACAAAACAGTAAGACAATATTTAGTGTCTTCTTTTTGGTTCATTCCAAGTGCCTTTGAATGATAATTTGTAAACTAAAGGAAGTAAGAATATACTACTTTGCATTTTAATAACACATTTTTAACACTAGTATTTTTATTTAAATTCTATTGCCAGGTACTTTCATCAATGCCTTATATAAAGTATCTGAGTTTAATCATATCACCTCAAGAGAATTTTACACATTAAGTCTAGGATTTCAACAGAAGTCTGGTGGTGTACCTAGAAAACTCAACTGCCATAACCAGTTTGAGAAGCTTTTTCTGGAGCACCCAAGCAGAAACTGGTGCCCCTTCCCCATCTAGGGTTAAAACAGTTAAGTGGCAGTTGCCCTATGTCCCTAATAAAACCACGTGGAGGGTGGGGCTGGCTTTACTACCACCCTGCCCAGGCACAGTACTTGGCCCGAGCTCCCTTCTAAGGCAATTGATGACTCCCAAATCCAGAAGACCTAACACCACTTCCATTGTAGACCCATCCATCTGGTCAGCCAGGCCTACTGACTTTTCCACCCCAAATCCAGGGGCTGCAAAAATGGCGACCTTCCCAAGTACCTCAATATTTTCATTTTTAGGGTTTTTAAAAAATATT